TTCATATATGAGCCTATAAGGGTTCCCTCTTTACATTAATTGGATTGCTATCTTCAGTGAATAAAACCGTACAATTGAGGATTATGAAAACATCTCTAATCCTTTATACCTGTATTACTTTTGAATCGCCCACGTGAATGTTGACCTTGTCGGCGACGGTCCCATCTTCGTTCAGCATCCAAGTGCAAGTAATTTATATGGTTTTAATCGGTTGTTCGGTTTTGGGCTAAATACCATGATATCGTTTATTCGATAGGGTCATCCATTACATTTTCAGTGCTAGTCCTCGGCTAGTTGTACCACAGACATTCCTTAGCGATGCTGTGAGTAGCCTAAGTACCAGGTACCCGACCTACGTCCTTGACAATGTCAGAAGCTCCACTTATTTTGCCAGTTCAACGAATATCTGCGGTTGAATGCGGTTGGAGTCTTCTAATCGAAGTCAGGAGGGACTTGAAGCATTGTAGTAGTTTGTTATCCTTCATATACTGTATTTCTCAGCTTTGGAGCAGGAAGCTTAGCGACTGCACTCTCAGATAACCTGCCCCACGCGGAAGAGCGGACTCTCAAGAAGGAGTACAATATTCCACTGTTGGTCTTATTCAAACACTTGCTGAGGTATTTGTCTATAGCCAGGAATACCGAAAAATAAATCTATTAAAAAAAGCACCATTAATTGACCGATATAATAATTATTTTTGCTACCCATAATGTATTTCACAATTTTTAACTTAGTTTTCAAGCTGTCCTCTGCCAGCCAAAAATAGTTTGAGGCGTCCTAGCGCAGCCGCGAGAGACATATTCAACTGTGCATTCCTCAAACCGCTATGCCTGTTTGAAATGGGTCGTCAAAGGAAACTTGCCTCTTTCCTTCTGTGAGTCGAAGGAGACGCGCCAATACGTAGTTATTTTGAGTCGATTAATTGTGATGTTATTTATTTTATACTAATCTAATCTGGATGATTTTATGCAGATACACAAAATTAGCAGTTGTCTCTGTTGGACGCGCTGCTCTCTAACATTGAAGGTATGACAAAGGTCGTGGAATCCACCATCGGAAAGAAGATACCAGTCGATTTCGGCCTGATCGACGACTACAACTTTGGTGTAGAGCAATACCAAAGTGCCTACGGATGCTATGATACTCCTAGCAGCCCACGATATCCTCTTTTGTCCATGGCTCCCGTGATGGATGAGCCTGGAGACCACCTAACCGCAGAGGGCCACCTAACTGCAATTGAGCCCTTCCAACTTTTTTTTAAGGTAATTCTATTTAAGGGGTCAAGTTCCTAGTCGGCGACAACTGCACAGTCAGCAACCGGCTCACTAACCTTTTAAAGGTACCGCTTATTGGCTGTGCTAGTCATAGACTCAATATTGCTGTG